TGTGGCGGGACACGAAGAGCCTCCGCAGGCAGCACCTGGTAATGGAGGAAGACGGTCACAGGGGTGGTGGGAAACGTGGAACTGATTACTAAGCCCACGTGCAGAGAAACCTAGGGGCAGCCTCGTCCCCACTCCAGGAGAGACCAGTGCCAGAGCCCACAGTGACAAAATGGGCAAGCAAATTACTCGCTGGACTCCAGGCCCATGTGCCCACTGAAGGCCCGAGGAGCTGCTTCTCAGGCCAGCGCAGGGGTTAGGGTTAAAGGAAGGGGGTGAAAGAGCGGAGACTCGCTCTCCACCACTCCTCCAGAAAGTGACTGAAAGGTACCCGCAAAGGGCAGGGCCCTGCCATCTTGCCTCTGGGCTCCCAGATCTTTCTGTGAAAACTATCTGGAAACTTCTGGAGCATCCAGAAGGCAGAGTCCTCTGGAAAACAAGTGTGGGGGCTGTTCTATGGACACCGGGCCACATCACAACATAGACTATCCCCCATGTCCTCAACAGAGGAAAAGTGGGGTGTGGACGGTGGGAGGACATCCAGGGCACCTGGAGGGCGTGGAACGTCTGGAACTCCATACCCGCAGGAAGGCCCCATAGCTGTGCCTTCGCGCAGAGCTGGGTCACAAGTGAAACATGGGAGGAGAGCCATGCCAGCAGGCTGGGTGGGCGCCTCCTCCATGCAGCCCACGTCATAGCCATGACCACACTAGACATCGGCTGCCTGTGTGCCCATGTGCCTGCCCTACTAGAGAGCTCTGAGGAAGGGATCACGTCTGTCCTCCTCCCTACAGTACTTCCAGCATCCAGCCCATTCAATGTGCATTTGTTGGGGCTGGCAGGTGGCATGATAGTTAAGAACTGGACTCCCACATGGCCAACCTCAGTTTGAGTCCTAGACCTGGCAACTTGCTTTCTCACTCTGGTCAAATTTAAATAAATAAATAAATAATATAGTTAAATTTTTTAAAAAGTGCATTTGTTGGTAGAGTGGCTTATGAGTGAACTCAACCGATTTCAGCAAGGCCTGGGCCGAGGTTATCTGGACCAAGCCTGCTCACAGGCCCTTTGCCCTCTGTCTCTCCTTGGTGCACCCAGGCCCTTTGCCCTGTTTCTCCTTGGTGCACCCGGCACACACATCACCAGCAACCTCCAATCTGATCGTGATGCTCCCTGTGTAAAACCTCTCGTGCCTGCCTGTCCTCCGGGGAACTGAGGCCAAACTCTTCACAGCACTTGCAAGGCCTTCGTCAACGTCCAGTCCGTGCCTCACTTTGCATCCTCATCTCCCCCCCTTCCCCGTTCTCGTTCCCCAGACAGACTCCAGACAGGCGCTCTGCACCAAGTAGGCCCAGCTATTTCCTTCCTGCTGTCCTCTGGCCTCCAGCAAGGGTTCTGGTGCAGGATGGCGGGTGAAAGGCTGAACTGATCTGACGTGCAAGCCTGCACGGGTCTGCCCTGGGGCCCCGGGGTCGCCTGTGTCCTCAGGCCGGCAGGTGGGAGAAATGCTTCTTACAGTTCCGAGAAGTGAGGGGAGAGATGGCAAAGCAAAGTCTGGTGGCTCTGAGACGCTCCTGCGAACAGCAAAGGTAAAAGGAGGGGCGGGCTCGATCGAAGCTAAGGTCGCCAGGGACTTCGTGCCCCTCACAAAGATGGCGACACTCGGCCCCGCCCCTAGAAACATGGCCGCCCTGAGGGAGTGGGCGGGCCTGCGGGGCGGAAGTGACCCGAGCGGACCGGAAGTCCTTTCCGCCACTCCGCGCCCGGGAGCCCAACTCAGCGGCGGAGGCGGGCGCGAAGCTGGGTTATGCCTCGGGCCGGGAAGTCGAGGGGCGCCGCGGAGGCGCCGCTGTTGCTGGCAGGCCACGCTGATGGCG